GTGTGCATATATCTGTTCTTGTCATGGCTCTCACTTCTTTAGAGTATATACCTAGTAATGGAATGGCTCGGTCAAATGGAATTTCTAATTCCAACTTTTGAAGGAATCACCATACTAGTTTCCACAATTGTTGTACCATTTTACATTCCCACCAGCAGTGTATGAGAGTCCCAATGTCTCCATGACCTCGCCAGCATTTGTTATTTTCTGTGTTGTTGAACTAGTTGCTACTAGTGCTGGAGCAAGATGGTACCTCATTGTTGTTTTGGTTTGCATCTCTCTAATAGCTAGTGATCGTGAGCATTTCTTCATAAGTTTGTTGGCCGCTTGAATATCGTCCTTGGTGAAGTGTCTATTCATTTCTTCTGCCCATTTTTTAATTTGATTGTTTGTCTTTTTGTTATTGAGGTGTTGGAGTTTTCTGTAAATTCTAGAGATAAGTCCCTTGTCAGATATGTTATTACCACATATTAATAAAAGGTCTGTCTTGAACATTATGCTCTTTAAAGAACAATCTATATGGAATCAAATTGACAACAGTGAATCAAAAGATTAGCTAGGAACCTTAGGGGGTAGCGAGTTTATGTTAACGAGGGAGGAATAACTTAGAAAAGGGAGGTGAGAATGGTTGCATAGCTAGAAAAATGTAATCAGTGTCCCTAAATTGTACATGTATAAACTGTTGTCCTTGTATATGTTTTATTGTGCATTTTCTCAACAACAAAATAAATAAAATTTAAAGGAAATAAAAAGAAATACTGGACACGATAGTATCTTCTTGTTGTTGTTGTTATATGCCACCGAGTTCGACCTGACTCATAGCGACCCCTTCTTGGATTTCCGAGGCAGTATCACTACGGAAGGAGCTCTGGTAGCATAGTGCCTAAGGCACTTGACTGATAACCAGAAGGCTGGCAGTTCAAACCCACCAGCCACTCCTTGGAAGGAAGGTTGGGCAATCTACTTCTGTAGTGATACTGCCTCAGAAACTCAAGGAGGGGTAGCTATGAGTCGGGTCTGACTCGACAGCACATAACAACAACATCACTGTGGAAGTAGATTGCCCCATCTTCCTTCTGAGGAGTGGCTAGTGGGTTTGAACTGCCAGCCTTCTGGTTAGTAGTCAAATGCCTTAGGCACTATACCACCAGAACTCCCAGATAGTACCTTAAGAGTGTATGTTTAATTCTCTTCTATGTAGTACTTTGTTCATATGTTTTACCACTGTATTGTAATTAATTGTGTCTGCTTTTTACTTAAACTTTAAGCTACTATGTGGCAGAAATAATTTCCTACTTATCTTTGTTTGTATAGCAAAAGCAGGGTTGACTCACAGCAGCAGTTGGATCAACTAGCAGAGGGTATTTTGGATCTGTCAAATGTTTATGATTATTGTACTAGGGAGAACTAAAAAGTAGATTAGAAATAGAAGTTGCATATAGAGCCTCCTTTTTTGGGGGTCTGATTATCATAAAACCTATCAAGTATGGCTGAAAATAATATTATTACATGAAATAGGGATGAGCAATAACAAGGTGATTGTTATTTTTCTTCCATCTTTGTCTACCAAGTTGCAGTCATGAAGCATTGATTAACTTTTTCTTATTCTACTACCCAGGAAGAAAAACAGAAAAAGAAAATGGCTGCAAAGTTGGAACTAGCAAAATTTCTTCAAGAAACAGTTACAGAAATGGCAAGGAGAAACAGAGCCAAGTTGGGAGATGCCTCTACACAGTTCTCATCCTACATACAACAGGTGTCAGTCTTTCATACAATACCAAACAACTTCTGGGTTAGGGGTGATATGAAAAATGCATGTCATCATGGATTTTCCAGATTAATCTCAAATTTCTGAAGTTGCAAATAGCTAAGTTATAAAAATACAACATTATTTATATTACAGATAAACATAAATTTTATGTTTGGGTAACCCACTGTAATAATTTGCAGAAAAGTCTATCTCAAAGCAATGAACATGTTGAAGACATTGGTAACTTCTTGGAAAGAACAGTAGAATTAGAGTCAGACTTTTGAATTACTCCTGATACTTCAGTTGATTTAGGCAGTCTTTAGACAGATTTCTTTACCCTCTTGGTAGTACAGAGTCCATTTCCAGACATCAAATGTTGTTGTTGTTATGTGCCATCGAGTCAGACCCAACTCACAGCGACCCCTCCTTGGGTTTCTGAGGCAGTATCACTATGGAAGTAGATTGCCCAACCTTCTTTCTGAGGAGTGGCTGGTGGGTTTGAACTG